TGTTGCAGACACAGAGGAGCCACACAGGGTGCCCATTCACGTTCAGCCCATCTCGGATGAGGTTCACATTGGAGACATGACACGAGGCGACGTGGAGGAGTCGGGAGGGCACGAAGCAGAGGGCAAGGGGCGAGTGGATCTTCACACGACAAGCTCCACCTTCGAGACGCAGGTGGTAGCGGCATACGAGGAGGAGAGGGCTGATGTGGTGGATCCTTTGCCCGACACCCCTACTGGCCGTGGCGGATGCACTGGTATCCGTGACGCATCGACGCCAGCTCACACCCTTGTTAGCCTTGTATATTATGGATCCCCTGGGAGCTTGGAGCGTGAGGAGGCGGAGTCAGCGAGGATTAGAGAGGAGCGATGGGCTGCTCACAGTGATATGCATCCACCAGCACTGGCCACGCCCTGCGCGCAGAGCGTTGCCCAACATCCGACACCGGGGAATGTTGTTGGGAGAGGATACATGTCTACCTCGTTGGCACCTTCAAGGCAGGAGGTTCTGCAGTCTCACCACCATCCTTGGTCATCTGTGCGAAGAGTGGATGGAAAGCTTAGGAGAGAAGTTATTGCGGCTGAGGCGAGACGTAGAGAGGAGAGACAGAGGGCAGAGAGAGAGGCACAGAAGAGAGCTCTAGCAGAGAGAGAGGCAGAGGAAGCAAGACAGGCCGAGGGTAGCAGCGGGGGCCGACCCGGTATCGGCACCGCGTGTCGTATTTTGGGAGCGAGACGTCCTGGGGAGACGCGAGATTTGCGCATACCGGCCGCACCCGAGCCGGGAGTGCAGAGCGGGGCGTACACCTTTCGCGAGGAGGCTTTGCCTATGTGCGTTTGGCAGAGACGTCATGACTTCTTGATGGAGATAGAAGCTCGTATGACAGCCCACCAGGCGGAGACTGCAGCGTTGGAGGGCTCAGCGTTGGCGAGGGTTGAGGAGGCTGCACAAAACGTAGACGCAGACATAGAGGAGGAGCCTATTGACGTGGCGAGGCGGAGAGAGAGAGAGAAGGGAGCGGCTTCTTCGACACGATTGGCCACGCATGGTCCTCAATTGGCGGGTCGGGGTGGCGGCCGTGGTGCGGACCAGTTATAGGGACATGAGCCTTGCTTTGTTCCATGCATGTTTGGAGTTGACTCGATTGTCCTTAGGTTTGTTTGTAGTCATCATTATGTATTGTGTAGAAAGATCGGCGCAGCTTCTGTACATTAGAGACACTCAGAGTTGATTGGTAGGTAGTTGACATACAGACGACGATCTTTGCACACGATGCTTGGTTATTTTGTTTGTCATAGCACGCATGTTGTTTGGTATTACGCTTATTTAGCATTAAGTGATCTTGTTTTCTCATACACAGGCTCTACATTTGTTTTGTACAGGGCGGTCATTTTGATTTGTCATTCGTGCAAACGTGTGTTTGTTTATATTTCTTGCACATTGTTTGGACGGGCACCATTCTACTTCAGCATGTGATTGTGTTACTCATGTCATATTGCACATGTGGATGTCCAAAATATGTGTGGACTTTGTTTTTCATGTATGGTCATAACGTGTGTACTTTGCTTTTCATGTTTGGTAATAACATGTATTAATCATGTGATATTGCACGTGTGGATGTCCAAATGTGATGTCCGTAACGGTCCCTAACCGCCCCTAGCTGTCCGTAACTGTCCCTAACCGCCCCTAGCTGTCCCTAACTGCCCCTAACTGCCCCTAACGTTTTTCTGTTTTTTTTTTTTTTTTTTTAACCGTTCTGGACCGCCCCCCAATTGTCCTTTACTGCCCCAAACTGTCCCCAACTGCCCCCGACATGTATAGCATCTCCAAATGCAACAACTCTCGGTTCTGCTTGGGAAAAAAAAAATGCGCCTTCATTCGTACAGGACCACAGGTTCTGCTGGCATGAGAGGGGGCTTGACGAGGTTGCGGGGAGGGGGGGGGTAGGAACGGGTGGGTATACCATGGTTACCCGATGGGAACCTCTACCCGCCCGTACCCACCCTTTTTTGTTTTGGCCACCCATACCTGCCCATAACCATCTACTTTTCTTTTTTTCTGGCCGCCCATACCCGTTCTTTTTTTTTTACCCCTACCCCTACCTGCCCCTGCACACTAATGATCTCCAGAAAGGGCAATTGTCCCCGCCCTAACAACCACCACCTTTTGTTTGTGCCTGCCCATACCCAACTCCCCCTTCGGAAGGGGTACCCATACCCGCCTGTAACCTGGCAGTTACAATTGGGTGCGTCCGGGTACGGGCAATGGTGACCCATTTGCGCTCTCCCCGCCCGCGCCACATTCAACTTTTTTTTTTTTTGGCTTGGCGGGGCAGCGGCCGACATGCGCACGTAGCCCGAGCGCTCTGCTGGGCGGGGGCGGGGGCCGGGGGTTAGTTGGCCAGCGACAGGGGGTGCGCATCACATTTTATAACACCCAACCCCAACCACAACCCCAACCCCAACCCCCAACCCACAACCCCCAACCCACAACCCCCAACCC